AGTTCAGTGCCTGGGAGGTAGGACTGGTGACTTTTTCACTCCTTCTTTAAATAGTCACTTTCAACTTCTCTGCTTTTTCTTTGCAGTATTGAGGTTTGAACTTGGACCTCACACTTGCTAGGCAGGTGCTCTAGGCCTTGATTTTTCTTTTGCATTTAATATTCACTGCATCAAACATGCATTTATATCAGTACCTTAAAATACATATTTCCAGGTACCCACATGACCCATTTTTTACTCTAGACAGATTTCTGCTCAAATTTCACTTCTTCAGACCTTCTAGAGTAACATCCTATCACTGTATTCTGTTTTAATTTTTTTGTAGCTTTTACTAATGTCTGACATGCTAATATATGATTTTTTTAATCTGTCTCTATTGCAGTCCATGAGGGTAGGTTTTATTTTTGCTCTTCTTAGAGCATAATATAGTAGCTGGCACATAGTAAATATTTACTATATTGAATAAAATGACATATTGATGAAGTTTCTGATGATATGAAACTAGAAGATTTAGTTAAAACATTAAAGCAGGATCCTTTTTTACTGTTTTGTTTTTTATTGTTCTGTTCTGTTCATATTTTATTAATCACTATATGAAATCAGACTAAACTTATTTTCTGAGGTTATTTATATGATTAAAAGTAATTATTGCTATATGTTTCATATATAGTAAATATAATTATAAACACTCTAGAACTGTTGGGACTCATTTTTTTCTGTTATGATACATTGAATGATACATTGTATTACAATACATTATATTGCAAATGCAAAATTATAGTAATATATTGACTTTAAAATTGGCCTTATAAGAATAAGACACTCTTTTCCCATAAAAAGCTCATGATCTAGGGTATAAGAAAGTCAAATAACTGAGTAGTTACAAGGTATCTGTATAGTTCAGAAACAGATAAATATGTATACTGTGCTAAAGATATCTCTAAGCCTACTAAAATATGTATTTCCAGACTTGATGGAACTTGATATGAGTAGTATATACAATAATATAATATAATATGAAAATTAGAATACAAACTAGGTACTATTGGCTTATGCCTGCAATCCTTGCTACATGTGAGGCTTATTTCATAAGGATTATGGTTCTAGGCCAGCCAGGACAGAAAAATCTGAAAAACGCAATCTCAGTTGAAGAAGCTGGGTATGATAGTACATACCTGTCATCCCAGCTATAATAAGAAACAAAAAAATAAGAAAGAAGTGCTCAGGCAAGAATGAGACCCTGTGTCAAAATCATTAGTGCAAAAGAGGGCAGGAGGCATGGCTCAGCAATAGAGTGCCTGCCTTGTTAATGTGAGGCCCTGAGTTCAAATCCCAGGATAACCAAAACAACCAAATTTGAACACAGTTGTATGTAGAGTGGTGGTAGAGTCAGGGATCTGCCTGCTGAACGTAGTAATTATGGTCTTGGACAGTCTGAAACTCTATGGATGTGGATCTGGGCTTTTCAGAATCTGGAGATAAAGAAGCCATGTCTGTTTATGAGCCTTAGAGAAATCCCTTACTATGGCTTAGAAAATGTCTTTTAGTAAGAGCAAAACAATTGTAGGATACATGAATCTACCAGTAGTCCAGATATCACTAGTTAACCAGCAGTTAGAACAGTGAGTGGAAAACCGTTTTTAGACCATAATTTGACTGATCATTTCCTCTTTCATAATTTTTAGGTTTAAAATATACACAGATTTTTATTAGCTCAGAAGCAGTCATGGAAGGCATTTTGACTCCTTTCCAAGACTTTTGTTGGGTTGAGCCGCTATACTGGCCACTAGTGGTCATCTAGAGGAGCGAGTATGAGGGCCAGCCCTTGTTTGCAGTTGCACCCATCTGAAAGGGTGGTTTCTCCCCACACACCAAGCTCTTCTAGTCTAACATGTCTCTGTCTCCTTCCTTACCATGTTCTCAAGAGCCCAGAATAATGTATGCTACAAGAAGTGTTTGCCAAGAAAACTCAGGGTAGGTTTCCAGATTTGAGCGCTCTGAAGCAATTAAAGATTGCTTTTATTTTTTTTAAAGTCTTGTAACTAAAACTAAACCTTTAAAACTGTAATAAGAAATATTTTGATGTTTATTCCCGTTAAAAACTAAAGTGAAAGTGGTTGGGGAATTGGCTCAGTGGAAGAGTACTTGCCTGGCAAAGTGCAAGATCTTAACTTAGGTCCTCAGCTCTGGGGGGAAAAAAAAGTATAAAAACTGAAGTGAAGGGGAGGAGAGACTAGATAGCTAAAGAAAAGCATCCTGATGCTATCCTAGGAGTAGGAATTTTTCCATGGTAGTCTAGAAATAGTCATCATTGTATTGTACACAAGTAATTAATTTGTTTGAAGAATACAAGAATATGAAATTTGGTAATTAGTCATCAGTGACTCATTTTGTGTTCATCATATACCTTTCACCCTGACGGGACAACAATAATTTTGCTGTTCAGGAATTCTGAGTTATACATAAGTGATATGCTACCAACTTGATTAGTACCAACTTGATTCTTCTTGGTAGATAACTTGTGATTTACTGGAAAAAGAGAAGAGATCTATGGTTAAGTTCATAGCACCATGTTCCGGAACTCCCTCCCTCAAAACTCACTTCTTAAAGCTAAACATTCTTTTTAGTGTACTCCTGAGATTATAAAAACTTTATTGGTTGACCCAGTTATTATATGTCAAGACTGGCCAGTGATTTTATGTTAGAATCTTATTTGTTAAAATTCTTTATTGTTTACTATTGGAATTCATATATTTGGGTTTTTTTTGTAGGTGAAGTTTTATCCTAAGAGTGTGTTTCGTCTAGTTTTTGAACCCAAATTATACATTTGTAAATGTTACAGAAGCGTTAAAAGACTGGTAAGTATCAAATGTAAGAAATATTAGCAATCAAAAGGCTTAATTCAGGGCTGGGAATTTGGTTCAGTGGTAGAGTGAATGTCTTGCATACATGAGGCTCAGGGGTCTATTCCTCAGCACCACATAAACAGAAAAAAGCCGGAAGTGGCTTTTTTCAAGTGGTAGAGCACTAGCCTTGTGCTGAAGAGCTCAGGGACAGCGCTCAGGCCGAGTTCAGTCCCACAACCAGAAAAAAAAAAAAAAGACAATTCATTTGAAGACTTTGAAATAACATAGTTAGATATCATTAATTTAGCCCCAGAGCAAAACCCTAAACTTTCTGTTGGATGGTGGTTGATTCATGCAGTAGCATATTACAAAATACCTTAAAGGAATAGACATATTGTTGCTGGAAGAAAACAGTATAAATACATATACTATAATATCTGTATGAATTTTAAAAACAGGTAAAACATTACCAAACAATTTTATGTCTATAAACATGTGTAATCAAGAAAAACATACATTTCTTTGTACACTAGGATGTATAAAGACTAGTTTTTACTGATATGGCAGCTTGTATAGTCATTTCTTATTATACGTAGCCCCTGCTCTCTCAGCAGGACTGTAAAATGGCGAAGGGAAACTGGGCAGTTCGTGTCTCCTTTCCTTTTACATCTCTGAGATAAGCATTTTTTAAAGGTTACTGGTAGGCTCAAAATTGCTGGGGTTTTTTTTGTTGTTGTTTGTTTGTTAGCTCACATTAGTAATACAAGAGGGGATTTCATTGTTACATCTCCACACATGTTTATGATACATTCTAGTCTATTTCACCTCCTCTCAAAATTACTTTTAACCTTAAGATAAACTGTTTTGAAAATCTGGATTTTTTTGTTTGTTGTTGTTGTTTTGTCAGTCATGGGGCTTGGACTTAGGACCTGGGTGCTGTCCCTGAGCAATTTCACTCAAGGCTAGAGCTCTACCATTTTGAGCCACAGTTCCATTTTCTGAAACTCTTTTAATATTTTGTTGTTCATGACTTTCTTTCTGAATACTTGTTTTCTCTGTATCACCACTTTCGTCTGTTTTGTCTTACTGTTTTTCTGCATATTAAAGTGTGACTTTTTTTTATTTGATTCATATGCATCCTAAAGCCAAGTGGCCTAACTTCACTTGCTAAAATTCTTCAATTTTTTTTTTTTTCTTACCTGATAGGAGTCCTTCTTAAACTCTGTTAACTGAGCTTATTTTTGAATAGGGTGGTTTGTGTTTATTCAGGATCTGACCTGGACCACAATTTTCTTCCCATTCATGATTTTTTCCCCAATTTTCTGAGATGACAATCGTACTACCATGCTAAACTGTTGATTGATATGGGATCTCACAAATTCCTCCTCTCTCCCGTCCTCATGCTGAACTCCAACCTCAATTCTCATCTCTGAGTTCTGAGTAGCTAGGATTATAGACATTATAAGCCTATAATGCCTATAATGCCACCATGCCTAGCTTGTTTATCTGTTTTATAGCAGAATCTATCTTAACTTCTACCACCCACTGGTGGTATCTTACCTTTCTAAACTGTGCTAAGACATTTCACACCTGGCACTTATTTCTTCCTTACAGGGATTATTCAAGAAATGCCTGTGTAGTTTAGAACTATACCTGAGAATTTTATAAGGTTAAGACCAATAACTGGATAATTTTATGTTAAATTTTATGTTAAAAACAAACCATGGGCTGGGAAGGTGGCTCAGTGGTAGAGTGCTTGCCTTGCATGCATGCAGCCCTGGGTTTGATTCCTCAGCACCACATAAGCAGAAAAAACAAAAACAAAAAACCACAAAGCCAGGTGTGGTGGCTCACACCTGTAATCCTAGCTACTCAAGAGGCTAAGATCTGAGGATTGCGGTTCAAAAGCCAGCCCGGGCAGGAAAGTCCATGAGATCTTATCTCCAATAAACCACCAGAAAACTGGAAGTGGCGAGGTGGCTCAAGTGGTAGAGTGCTCGTTGAGCTGAAGAACTGAGGGACAGTGCCCAGGCCCAGAGTTCAAGCCCCACAACCAACTAAAAAAAAAAAACCCACAAAACAAAACAACCACACAGTTTGAAAGTAAATTTGTATTCATTTTTCTAATCTTTTTTTGTTATACTTGCTTCATAGCTCTGTCATGAGCACTGACAGTAACTCATTGGCACGTGAATTTCTGACTGATGTCAACCGGCTTTGCAATGCAGTGGTTCAGAGGGCAGAGGCCAGGGAAGAAGAAGAAGAGGAGACACATATGGCTGCCCTGGGACAATACCTTGTTTATGGGCGAGGATTTCTGTTACTTACCAGGCTAAATTCTATCATTGATCAGGTAACATTTTCCTATCATTGTTTTTCATCAGTATATTGTATTTGGTCATAAATGTATAATTTTGGGTGATATAGTTTCTTAAGAGGCTCTGAGATAAAGGCCTAGCTCCTACATCACTCTAGAAAAGAAAAAGACAACTCCATTTACAACTATATAATTTACTTGGATATGTTTTACTGTGTGAAATATGTTAGAAATTTAATTGGCTTTTTTCTGATGTGTTTCATACATATTTTTATCCAAATATTGTGAAGCAACTGATTATTGTATAAGGTTATAATTTAGAAACATGAATTTCCTTTTTCAGTAATGGTCCAATTCATTTTTAAAATTTTTAGTATGACAGATTTAAGGAGCTTGCTAATACTACTTTCTTTAGCTTGTATGTATTGTTGTTTTCGTTTGAAGTATGGTATGGCCATATGGGCTTGCTGTCTAATGCTCTTCCTTCCTCTTGGTACAGAGAATTGAATTCAGGACCTCAAGCTTGCTAGGCAGACAGTCTACTACTTGAGCCACACCTTTAGTTTCTTTTTCTTTCTTTCTTTCTTTTTTTTTGTTGGTCATGGGGCTTGAACTCTGGGCTTGGCACTGTCCCTCAGCTCTTTAGCTCAAGGCTAGTGCTCTAGCTCTTGAGCTAACAGTGCAACTTCCAGTTTTCTGAGTTTATTGGAGATAAGAGTTTCATGGACTTTCCTGCATGAGCTGGCTTTGAACTGTGATCCTCAGATCTCAGCCTACTGGGTAGCTAGGATTACAGGTATGAAGCCACCTGTGCCCAGCTTTAGTTCCTTTTTACTTTGGCTGAGTTGGGCCATGATCTTCCTACTTAGGCATATTGCTTTGATAACAGATATGTACCATTGTGTCCAACCATTGTACTTCTCCTAACGACAGTGCCCACCACCATACCCAACCTTGAAAGAGATGAAATTTCAGGAAATTTTATGCCCAGGATGGCCCTGAACCCTGATTCCCCAGTCACCACCTCCCAGGTCACTAGGATTTCAGGCTTCAGATACCATGCCCAGGTCTGTCTTTCTTAAAAGATACCATGTAAGTCCCCAGGAATAAATATAATAAAATACGTGCAGTACTTAAGCATGGAATTCCATAATGCATTATGAGACACTAAAGTAGTCCCTAATAAATGGAGAACTATGTAATATTATTGAAAGAATCAATACTGTAATGATAGGTTTTCTCTAAATTGATCATGTATTCCCTATAGGAATTGCACTAGCTTTTTTTTTTTTCTTCTGCTGGTCCTGGGCTTGAACTCAGGGCCTGGGCGTTGTCACTGAGCTTGTTTGTTTGTTTTCCTTTTTTTTTCCTCTTACTTGAGTAACGGCTCCACTTCTAGCTTTTTGTGAGTTAACTGGTAATTAGAGTCTCATGAACTTTCCTGCCCAGGCTTGCTTCAAACGGCATCACATTTCTCAGATCTCAGCCTCCTGCGTAGTTAGCTTTATAGGTGTGAGCCACCTGTGCTAGGTTCACTAGCTTTTTAAAATCTACACATATTATACAATTTACCCATGTCACATAGACAAGTTTATAGTGTAGTCATAGATGTATTAACCCATTGTTTTAGGCAGTTTCAGAACATTTCTATCACCTCAGAAAGAAACTCCATACCCTCTCTATCTGTTCCCAGCTCTAAGCAGCCACTCTATCTGCTTTCTGTCTCTGAAGATTTTATCTTTTCTCTTTTAAGCCATGAAATATTTTAATGCATTAGTAAATGACTGAAATCATTTAAGATTATATAACTTCCTTCAGTAAAACTTCATACTTGACCATCTAGGCATAGGAATGATAATTATTATTAAAAATTTAAATATCACTTGTACCTCATGGTTATGTATGCTAATCAAATTATGAGGACTGACATTTTCTTTTTATTGTGGTGCTGGAGATTGAACATAGAGGCTTGTACATGCGAGGCAAGCACTTTTCCATTGAACCATATCCCCAACCCTTGCTAGTCCAATTTTGATAAATTATGTTGGCACCAGATCACTTGCCACCTATTATATAAGAATCAAACTCCATGTTTAAAATAAGAGTACTGAGGCTCTACTACCCAATTCATGCCTCCAACCCCTAAAAGGTCTTTTAGTTATCCAAATAGATCTCCTTCTGTTACTGATGAAGAAACTGAGATCTGGAGCAATTAAATGACAAAAGTCACTTGATACAGGTTCTAAGAGTAAAATCAAGGAAAATTGTTACTTTAACCTTTAGCTGTTTTCTCTGCGAAATACCATCTTACTTTTTCTACATCTTTGTAGTAATTTCACTTTCACATGTAGTGCTGCTTAACTAGCTCCTCTATAGTGGCATACTGTAGTATGGCTATGTAGTTTACTGATTTATTCAACAGACCATTCAGTACCTACTGTGTCTAGCACCTTCTGGATGCAGGGATGAAAAAACAGAGACTATCTTTACCAGGAGCTCTTGCTTTTGAAAAGAAGGGCTGATAGTGATGACAAAAACGGCCTGGCATCCTTACATAGGGATTCACAGTACAAAGAGGAATAAGCATGTACACCTATTTCGGTGTACAAGAATTCAGTCATTTAGGAGGCTGAGAGTTGTTTGATGGCTGCCTCAGTTCTGCCCACATGGATAAGTAGGCCACGTTTCTCAGTAAGCCACATCTAGCCTCTTTATCTGATAGTTGGAAACACTCTGAAGAGGGAAGGGGGAAGTGGCAAGAAGCTACATAGCCATTTTGATTGCATTATTGGTCAAAACAACCCCCAAAGCCAACTCAGATTTAAGGGATGGAGAAGTAAAGCCCATCACTTGATAGGAGGAACTACAGTTAGTCTGTAGCTATGTTTCATCCACCATACTCCTCTTTGGCCAAAATAACATTCCTCCTGCACTCCTTCCCTGACTCACAGAGTATGGTCCCATCCTGCATCTTCCTGGAAAGCTCGGGATCTCCCTGTATGCACTGGGTCCCAGGTGAGCTTCCACACATGGTACTTTTGTTGTAGCTCTTCTCAGTGGAAAACTTGTGAACCAAGAGGCAAACTACCTGCCCCCATCTCCAGAGTCCTACATGCACAGTGACAAGATGGGGAAAAGCTAGCCACACAGTTAACGGGACAGGGAAAGAGGCATGTAGCATTTCCTTTAACCATAGTGGTTATGGAAGATTGCAGGTCTATGAGGGCAGCACCTCCTTCTATTCTGGGGGCTTGGAATGTGTTTGTTTGTTTATCAGCTTGAATCCAGGGCCTGGCCACTGTCCCTGAACTCTTCAGTTCAAGGCTAGTGCTCCACCACCTGAGCCACAGTACCTCTCCTGGTTTTCTGGTGGCTAATTGGAAATTCAAGTCCCTTGGACTTTCCTGCCCAGACTGGCTTTGAACAGCTATACTCAGATCTCAGCCTCCTGAGTGGCTAGGATGACAGGTGTGACTCACTGGTACCCAGCCCATGTGTTCATTTTTTGATGTAATTCTTTTTTTTTTTTTTTGGTCGGTCGTGGGGCTTGAACTCTGGGCTTCAGCGGTGTCCCTCAGCTCTTCAGCTCAAGGCGAGTGCTCTACTGCTTGAGCCACAGCACCACTTCCAGTTTTCTAGTGGTTTTATTGGAGATAAGAGTGTCACGGAAAGCAGGGGTTATACCGTGGGGGAGGGACATACAAAGAAACAAAGAAATCACCATAAATATGCTAGAAACAATTGCAAGAAAGAAAAAAACATTTGAATACTTACCTTGGGGTTCATTTCACCTAACATCAACTTATCTGACCTTTTCTGCTTGTCTCAGACATATACTAGTTATTGCAACTAAGGGAAACCATGGGACCTATGTTTCTTTGGGCCTCGCTTACTTCACTTCATATAATTTTTTCCCAAGTCTTTCCATTTCCTAACAAATGGGGCAATGTCATTCTTTCTGATGGAGGCATAGAATTCCATTGTGTATATATACCACATTTTCTTGATCCATTCATCTACTGAGGGGCATCTGGGTTGGTTCCATATCTTAGCTATGGTAAATAATACTGCAATAAACACAGTTGTGCTGGTAGCTTTAGTATGGTCTTGTTTGTGATCATTTAGGTAAATGCCCAAAAGTGGGATTGCTGGGTCTTGATGTTGGCATAATTTGTGGAGGGGAAGGAAAAAAACAAATCATTTAAATAGCGATACAGGTGGACCCATTGCAACAATGAGATGTACAAGTCGTTATGTCGAAAAACAAACTTTACAACTTTGGCCAGGGGTGGGGAGGGGGTGTGTGGTGGGTGTATGGGGGAGATGGGAAGGGGAAACAAAGGAGGAGGCAACAATGCTTGATAAGAAATGTACTCATTACCTTGCCCATGTAATTGTAACCCCCGTGTTCGGTATTTTCACAATAAAAAAAAAAAAAAGAGAGTGTCACGGACTTTCCTGCCCAGGCTGGCTTTGAACTGTGATACTCAGATCTCAGCCTCACCGGCGCCCAGCTTATGATATAATTCTTTAATTAATGGTTTTGCAGGACTTTTGGCTCTATGCTTTGAGATGTTTTGTCCAACAGATTGCTTCCTTTTTCCTGCCTATCCAAAATTTTCTTGATGTTCCTTGGCATGACATTTGAGGACCCCTTTTTGCTGCCTATCAGCCGTTGGAGATTCCTAGACATCAGAATGGTTCAGGATATCAGCTTTTCCCTGACTTACTTCATTTGCGCTGTGTCCCCCTCTGCTACTACTGCTTCTGAATGTCTAAGCTGGACAGTTAGTTAAAAATCTAGGCTAACAATGCAAGTATAAAAAGGGCAGGTACTTGAGATATGTTTTTTGAATTGAATTTAAAAAGTGCTACTATAATGAAAATTATTTTGCTGTTTATTATTATTTTGGGGAAGTTTAAAAGGTAAGACCAGCCTTTTTAACTTCAAGAAGGTAGTTAAAAGTGTAAATATTAAGCAAGGCTATTTAGAAATAGCCAGGGAATGGTTCTGTGTATGGCCTGTATTGTCTATGACATAAGGTATTAAAAGACTCCCTGCTCCCCCATATACTGTGTGATTATGTACACTTAAGACCCTGGGAGATAAAACTAGAGCTTGATTTGAAATAAAGGGCTGCAAGCTCTGGTTTTTCAGGGTGCCTACAAATAAGAAAAAAAGTATTTTATGAAATACAAAAATACGAATTGTGTTGGAAATATGCTCATTGATTGTGAAATAAAGATTGATTTTCCCCTGTTGTTGTATCAGACTGCAGGATGGCTCTAATTCCAGTGGTAAAGGTAAACTCAAGTACAGCCTTATCCTTTAGAAAGGCCGTAGGTTTTGAGAACTAATCCACTTAGAAAATTGGGGCCCTTGGCATGAAATCCTGAGAAGGAAAGCAGTCGTCTGAGTTGATGGAAAACTTTGCAGAGGAGATATTTCCAGGGTGAAGCCCTAAAGTGGTGGGAAGCAATGAGGGACATACAAGAGCCATGTGTCACAGGAGGCAGGAATTCCTGTTCACACAACAGTGACAATTTACCAGTGTACTGCTGTGGAGCAGCGAGCTAACTTACTAAGACAATGTATCTGTAGTTCTGTGTCACACATGGAGGTCCTGAAAGCTCCATTAGACCACTGTCTATTAAATATAAAGATGAGGATTAGTACTCTACAGGAAGGATGAGCTAAAAAAGTAGCTTCCTTTATTGTAGACCATGTATTTTAGACCTTACCTTGTTTGACACTTCAGTCTGTTATAATGGAACTCACACATTGGTCATCCCATTAGCATTCCATTAAAGTTGCATTTATGAAGGTCACCAGGCACGCTCTAGTCCCTGTGAAAAAGTGAAAGACTTCAGCCATCATCTTGCATAGATCAAGAACAATAGTTTTTTTTTAAATTTAACTATGTACTAGGAATAAGATTTATTTAGTTCCTCAGTTAAGTAAAATAACAGTTTAAACTTAATTATTGTATCTTTGGTGCACTTTGTTTTCATGCAGGTTGAAAAACAATGTATTCCTCGATTATTTACATACACACATTATATCTTATTATTCATTTGGATAATTTTATGATCATCATTTTCTTGCTGTAATTTTTTATTGTGAAAATACAGAGGGGTTACAATTACATGGGCAAGGTAATGAGTACATTTCTTATCAAGCATTGTTGCCTCCTCCTTTGTTT